GGGAGAGGGAGAGGGAGCGGGAGCGGGAGCGGGAGCGGGAGCGGGAGCGGGAGAGGGAGCGGGAGAGGGAGAGGGAGAGGGAGAGGGAGAGGGAGAGGGAGAGGGAGAGGGAGAGGGAGAATGAATACACATTGGAGCTGGGACTTGGAGCATGGCTCAGCAGTTAAGAACACTGGCTGCTTTTCCAGGCAAAATCCCTGGAATTCAATTCCCAGAACCCACATGGTGGCTCACAGCTGGCGTAACTTCAGTCCTTGTCTGGCCTCTGTAGGTGCCAGGCATGTATATGGTACAGTCACACACAGAAAATACATTTTAAAAAAATCAAGAAATGTTACCACAAAGATTTCAAATTATAACAATCTGAAAAACTGATATTTGGAAACATGTTAGCGTCAGCACTGAGGGGGCTGAGGTAAGGCCATGGTAAATTCAAGGCCATGCCACATAGACAAATGCAGTCTCACTAAATCACGAAGTCGGCCATGGTGACACACAGCAGTGTCAGGAGTTCAGTCATACTCAGCTACAGTGTAGATTCGAGGCTAGCCTGAACTACATGAAATCCTGTCTCAAACAAACAAGCAAGCAAGCAAAAATGAGTGGGGAATGGAAAGTGCGTGTCACACAACATGAGGTCTAAGCTCCACCTTGCAGCATCCAGCTAAGAGAGCTGAGCGAGGTAGGTGTGGTGGCACATGCCTTCAGTACCAGCATCTGGATGACAGGTGTGGGTCCTCAGTAGGCCTGGTCACTATAGTGACCTCTAGGCCAAACAAAGCCACATAGTAAGGCCCTCTCTCAAAACCAGTAACAGAGGAACACAGGCAGAGCAGCACACGGCTGTAACTCTAGTGTTCTGGAGATAGAGGCAGAGAGGGTCCTGGGCTTGCTGGCCAGTGTAGACAAACGAGAAAGCTCTAGGTTTAGCAAGAGAACTCCGTCTCAGAAACTGAAGTGAGAGGGCTGGGCAGAGAGCAAGTTTCTGTTAAAGGAACTTGCTGCCAAGCCCCCCTGACTTCAAATCCCTAAGCCCATATGGTGGAAAGAGAAAACCAACTCCCAAAAAAAGTCCTCTGACCTCCACATACACTGTGCCATGTATACACATGTGGGTTCACATGCACACATGCACACATACAAGTAAGAGAGAGTGACTGAGAAAGACATCTGATGTCCATTTCTAGCCTCCACAAACAGGTAAGCACACATATGGACACTAACACATGAAACACACTCATCCCAATATATATATATCAAGGAAGGGGGCTGGAGGAGGAAGAAAGGAAGGAAGACTTGTTTGCTGGCTATACACCTTCAGTGGGTGACTGTAGGGTTAAGGGAGTATTTACCTCATTGCCAAGGAACTAGCAAGTGTTTGCCACCTTGTATCTGCCTCCTTTTAACTTTAATATGACTTATTATGTTTAATGTGCGTGCATGTGCGTGTGTGCGTGCGTGTGTGTGTATATATACATATATACATATATATGTGTATATATATATACATATATACATATATACATATACATATATACATATATACATATATACATACATACATACATACATACATATATATATATATATATATATATATATATATATATATATATATATATGCATGCGCACACGTGTGTGTGTGCATGCGCGCCTTGGATCTCTCCAGAGCTGGAGTTACAGAAGTTCTAAACTGCCTGGCATGGGTACTGGGATGCAAACTCAGGCCCTGTGCAGGAACAATACATATGGTTAACAGCAGTCATGCCCCAGCCTTCCACCGCTTATCTTGAAGAGTTTAGTGGATAAACCTAGTCTGGCCTGTTGCCCTTGGCAGTATCTTTCCTGGCCTATAGCAGGTATCCTCCCAGGATCTCTCTCACCACCAGAAGTGAGGACATGGAAAGCAAGAGCAGCCATAAAGTAAGAAAAGCGCACCGGGCAGTGGTGGCGCATGCCTTTAACCCCAGCACTTGGGAGGCAGAGGCAGGTGGATTTCTGAGTTCAAGGCCAGCCTGGTCTACAGTGTGATTTCCAAGACAGCCAGGGCTACACAGAGAAACCCTGTCCCGAAAAAAAAAAAAAAAAAGACAAGTAAGAGAAGCACCAGCCTTGGCAGAGTCCCCAGACGTCCCTGTGACAACCCTTCCAACTGCCCAGCAGTACCTTATGATGAACAGAGGGTCTTCCCGGATTTTGCTGGCCATGTCAAGAAGGGAATTGGCACCCGATGGGGCAAAGATTGAGCCCGGGAGGAGTCCTGTCTCAGAAGAGCAGCCGGCTTCCCGCTCCTCCATCTTCTCAAAAACATACTTGTCAATGGGGCGCCCCAGCAGGTATTCGTCACGGTTCACCATGCCACCTGGACCTTGGTACATCCAATCCAACTTTTCTTCTTTTTTCCTGGTTTGAAAAAGAAATAAAGGACACAGAGACAGACAGAGAGAGAGACGGAGAGAGAGAGAGACGGAGAGAGAGAGACGGAGAGAGAGAGAGACAGAGAGAGAGAGAGAGAGAGAGAGAGAGAGAGAGAGAGAGAGAGATAAGAGACATTAGACACATACTTACTCAAAGGGAGGGGAAGGTAGGTAGGGTCCTGTTGAGCTCCACACAGGACCTGACCCAGTCAGCACTGGGCCTCTCTGCAGACCCCTACTGGAGGCTAAACAACATTTCTGACTTGGCAGACAGACAGGAAGCAACAAAGCTTACAAATAAATGAAGAGATACTTTTCACAATCCAGGAGGAAAAACCAGAATCTTTCAGCTAAGGCATGGATTTTTTTGTTTTGTTTTGTTTCGTTTGTTTTTGTTTTTGTTTTTTGAGACAGGGTTTCTCTGTTTATCCCTGGCTGTTCTGGAACTCACTCTGTAGATCAGGCTGGCCTCGAACTCAGAAATCCACCTGCCTCTGCCTCCCAAGTGCTGGGATTAAAGGCGTACGCCACCACCGCCCGGCCAATGACCAACTTCTTATCCACACAAATGCTGCATTACAGCCCGACGCCACGCTGCACTAGGGAGCAAACCCAGGGCTTTGGCCATGCTAGGTAAGCACTCACACGAATAAGCTCGTGGGTTTTCATTTGCTTTATTTATTTACCATTAGTGTGTGTATAATGAGGAGGGGTATATATATCACAGTATGCATGTGATGGTCAGAGAGGACAACCTTCAGGAATCAGTCTCTCCTTCCAGGGTCATCTGGCAAGTAGCCAAGGTTAGGTTTGAACTCCTTCTTCCCAAGTGCAGAGATTTCAGGTGTGTACAATTAAGCCAAGTGGCTTTGTTTGTGACAAGATCTTCTGTTTTATAAATGTGTGTGTGTGACTACTGTGTATATGTGCAACACAAGGATTCCTGACACACGTGGAGGCCAGAACTAGACTGGGCAGCTGTGAGCTGTCTACCATGGGTGCTGGGAATGAACTTGGGTCCTCTGCAAGAACACTATACGTTCTTCAACTTTGAGCCACCTCTCCAGTCCTTAACTACCTAATTAATATGTATGTATAAGCAATGTGCATGAGGTACTCAGGAAGCCAGAGGAGGGCATGGGAACTCTTAGACCTGGAGTTACAGGTGATTGTGAGCACCCATGTTGGTGCTGGGAACCGAACCTGGGTTCTCAGCAAGAGCAATAAGTGCTTTTAACCATTGAGACATCTCTGTAGCCCTTGTTATTGTTGTGGTGTTTGCTTTGTTTCTGAAGGGTTTCATTGTTATTTAGGCTAGCCTCAAACTTGAGATGTTCTTGCCTGGGCCCCCAGTTTGTTTTTATTTGTTTATTGGTTGGTTGGTTCTGGTTTTGAGACAAGGGCTCCCTGTACAGCCTTAGTAGGCCTGGAACTTGCTATGTTACAGACATCCTCCTGCCTCTGTCTCCTGAGTGCTAGAATTAAAATCAAGTGCCACCACACCCAATTCTCTCAAGTCTTGCTATGCTGTCCAGGCTGGCTCTGGATGCCAGTGCTTCCAGGGTTCTGTGCTCTGCCTCCTGAGTTCTGACATTTGCCACAGCACCTATCTGAGGGGATTTTAAAAGCACATGTTGACTAAAGAAAAACAACAAGCCTAATAAAGAACATGTCTGAGATGACCGGCCACACTTCACCTTGTGAGCCTGCTACTCACAGGGCCAGTAAATAAGTTAATAAGTTACACTTGTAAGAGGTTTCTCACCACATCTCCTGTGCCAGACAGATAAGTAAGGCCAGAGAGATAGAAAAGGGTTGCTCAGTGGCTACCGGGTGAGGCCCAAAGGTCAACAAATCATGGGGGGAGGGAGGGTGACCAAGTGACTGAGAGACAGAGACCCAAGGTGGAATCCGCCTGCTCTGCACCTGCACGCACAGAGGCAAGGAGCTTGAGGGGGCGGGGGGATAAACTGAAGACCAATTAGCATGACGCAGAACACCGGTGCCAGACAGCTGAAGAATCTCACTGGGCAAAAGGAAGGGGCCATGTGCAGTTAAGATGAGAGAGAATCCACTAACAGAAAGGGGTGGAGAGTGAGGGACTGGCAGCAGAGCCAGCAGCCTACAATTAAAGAATAAAACGCTTCTGGGGAAAGGAACTGAGAGAGGAAGGCACACGCTCTTTGCTTTTGAGATATTGGTCTTACCACATAGCCAGCCCTTGTGAGTGATCTATCCAGTCATAACTCACCCGGGCCTAAAATATATCTGAACGGGAGAGTACCTGCCCAACATGTATGAGGCTCTGAGCTTAACAGAGAGTGGGGGGAGCCCAGGGCACCTATGAGTTCTAGAGTTGGGCTCTGAGGGACACATCACAGAACTTGGCTTCTGGGTTCACCATTAGCCAGAACTGGGGAATTCTGGACAGGCTGCTTCTGTACCTTCATCTCTAAAGCACAGCCATGAACCACTGCCCTTCGCTGTTTCCCCGAGGCTTCAAATGAGATGCTATTTGAAGAGAAAACATGTAAAAACAGAGTAGTGATCCTCTACATTTTTGGTTTTGCTAACACAAAGGGTATAGAGTAGGTTCTCCATTAAAAGTGAACATTAGCACCGGGCAGTGGTGGCGCACACCTTTAATCCCAGCATTTGGGAGGCAGAGGCAGGAGGATTTCTGAGTTCGAGGCTAGCCTGGTCTACAGAGTGAGTTCCAGAACAGCCAGGGCTACACAGAGAAATCCTGTCTCAAAAAAAAAAAAAAAAAAAAAAAGTGCACATTAGCTTCACCCAGGGTGATTTAAAACATACAGATGGCACATGCTGGTAATGCCAGCATTCAAAGGAGGCAGAGGCAGGAGGAGCAGGAATTCAAGGGGTTCTGCGATACAACATTTGAGGCCTGCATGGGCTATGTAAACTACCTCAAAAGAACAAACAAATCAGGCCAGAAAGACAGGCCTGTGGATAAAAGTGTCTGCCACCAAGCCTGACAACCTAAGTTCAGTCTCTGGAAACTACAGAGAGGAATGAGAGGTACAACTCTACCAAGCTGTCCTATGACTTCCACACGAGTGACATAGAATTGGGGATTTAGCTCAGTGATAACAGTGCTTGTCTAGCAAGAACATGGTCCTGACTTCAGTCCTCAGCTCTGGGGGGTGAGGGGGTGGAGGGATTACAGAAAAGGCCAAAAAAACCCTACCAGGGATCCCCATTGTCTCCTGAAGCCCCTTCTATCCCACAGGAACTAGATGAGATAGGACTGTCCATCTTTATCTACTTAATGCAAGAATCAACTATCACTGTCCAGGAACGGCAGCGAGGTGACACTATCAGCAAATACTAAGACATACTCTACTGCTCTGTGGTAGACTGCTTGCCTCGCATGCCTGAGGCCTTGGGGTTGAGCCCCAGTTCTGAAAGGGATCTGGAGATTTTCAAGTATGTATATGAGAGGTCTTCTTTGCTCTGAGAACAAATGAACGCACTACAAACACAGAAAAGATCATCTGGAGAGATGGGCTCAGCAGTTAAGACCACTGGCTGTTCATCCAGGAGCCCTGAGTTCGATTCCCAGCAACCACATGGTGGCTCACAACCATCTGTAACGGGATCTGATGCTCTCTTCTGCCGTGCAGGTATACATGCAAACAGAGCACTCACATACATGAGTAAATAAAGCTTAAAAGAGGACCTGAACCCCAAGGGTGGAGTCAAATCATTAAATCAATGGTGCTTAATTAGATAAAGTCAAAGCCTGTGACTATACAAGGCATTGAACCCAGCCAAGTGCACGAGTAAACCCTCTACGAAAGCTGAGGTGCTACCAACTGCCGCAGGGTCCTGCAGGCCAGCCTGCCTTTCTGAGTCCTGAATATTGGTTTCTTCCCTCTCTCTTCTGTCTTTCTTTTGGATGCTAACCAGGCCTAAGTGTGCTTTCCCTAGCTCTTTGGGCTGCCTTACCTTTTCCTAAAGATTCCCTCCCCGCCTTGAGGGTGTGTACAGCCATGAAGCTGACCTCCATGCCAGCTTATCCCAAACAGGAGCGCTTTTGCCATTCTCCTCTAGGAGATTTATAGTTTTGTCTGCCTTGGTTTTAAACTCTTAACAAATTATCCTCAAACTTAAAAAAAAAGATCATGAGAGACAGGAAACTTGCAATCTCAATGCTTAGGAGGTTAAGGCAGGAGGAGACCAGTCTAGGCTATAACATGAGACCCTGTCTGCATTTTTTTTTTAATTTTTTTTGGGGGGAGGGGTTTCGAGACAGGGTTTCTCTGTGTAGTCCTGGCTGTCCTGGAACTCACTCTGTAGACCAGGCTGGCCTCGAACTCAGAAATCCACCTGCCTCTGCCTCCCAAGTGCTGGGATTACCACCCAGCTCTGTCTGCACTTCTTTTTTTTTTTTTTTTAATTATTTTATTTATTTCATGTATATGAGTACACTGTAGCTGACTTCAGACACACCAGAAGAGGGCATCAGATCCCATTACAGATGGTTGTGAGCCACCATGTGGTTGCTGGGAATTGAACTCAGGTCCTCTGGAAGAGCAGTCAGTGCTCTTAACCGCTGAGCCATTTCTCCAGCCCCTGTCTGCACTTCTTAAAAGGCTGTTTTTGTTGTATGTATTTTGTCTACACATATGTGCACCACATGTGTGCAGTACCCTCAAAGGCCAGAAGAGGGTGCCAGACATTCTGAAACTGGAGTTCTGTTTTTGGTTTTTTTTTTGGTTTTTTTTTTTTTTTTCGAGACAGGGTTTCTCTGTGTAGTCCTGGCTGTCCTGGAACTCATTCTGTAGACCAGGCTGGCCTCGAACTCAGAAATCCACCTGCCTCTGCCTCCCAAGTGCTGGGATTAAAGGCGTGCGCCACCACCGCCCGGCAAAACTGGAGTTCTGAAGTAATTACAGACACTGGTGAGCAGCAGTATACGCTGGGAATCAAACCTGCCCTCTGCGAGTTCTCTTGACAAATGAACTATCACACTAGCCCCAAAATATGGAAGTAAATATTTTAAAAACAAAACAAATAATTCATGTTCTTCTTCTGTTTTTGTATTAATGCTGGCCTTATTTTCTTTTTGTTGTTATGATAAAATACCCTGACAAACGCAACTTAAGGGACAGAGGGCTTATTCTGGCTCACAGTTCAAGGTACAGTCCATCACAGTGGAACCAAGGTGACAGGAGCTGAGCAGCCAGTCAGTCACACCACCTCCCCTCCCCGAAAGTGCTCAGCTGCTGAGTCTTCCACAGTTTGGGAGCCCCAGCATAGACAAGACTCCTGCTACAGCCAAGATGGGTCTTCCCACTAACTGACAGAATCAGATAATCCCTCACAGATGTGCCCAGAGACCCATCTTCCAGGTGATACTGGATTCTGTCAAGTTTCACCATTAACAGTTACCATCACCATTCCCTAAATACGTGGTATTTCATTTAAAAGTTCTATAAACTTCATTCACTGTAAAATATCAGAACCTTCCCAATCCATTTCTTTAGAAAATGGGGTTTTCTCCCTATGTATAAGCCATGATGAAATGTTCATGTACTGAAACTGAGCCTCAACACACAACTATGGATGTAACAGCTCCCTCTGCCATGACATTAAGGAAAAGCCCACATATTCCCCAGGGAACGTGGCCACATCTCACCCCAAAGGCTTGCCCACGAAACATGAACAAGGAGAACAGCAGAGATGGCTCTAATACAACCTGTCTGCAGTTTCTGTACCATCCTGATTTAGGAATGCACTATAAAATGTATCTCATGCTTTTTCATGAGATAAGTAGGGTAATTATCTACTGTGACTGCCCTACAGTGTCCAAGAAACTGACCAAAGGTAAAATTCAGCAAGACCATTCATAACTACAACAGGATTTTATTGACAGATACCCTATCTACTTCTTCACACAGTTACCCACTGCCCCCAAGATAACCTTGTAATTCCCTCACAAAGGCCTCAGGGAGCATGAAGACAGTGATTCTTTGTCACAGTCAAGGTTATCTGTCCACTGTCTCGTGGGAGCATGGCCTACACTCGTTTGGTTACACATTATCATGTATGGACCTCAATGACCCTTACAGACTCGGGTATTACGACTTCCCGGGTCCTACTGAGATGTCAAGGCTCCCAAACCTTCTCTCAGGTATGCACTCAGGACACACAAAGCGAATCTTAGAATCAAGTTGCTCAGGTTGCAGAATCCACGTGCTGAGCCGAGCCACTTAACTCTTACGAGGCACCTGGATCAGGCAAGCATCCTCAGCACAGCCGTTCCCCACACACCACCACAGCCCTTCCCCACACACCACC